ACAAGATCCTCCGTCATTCTGGACGATAGACAACTGATTTTGAGAGTAATTTCTAATAACTCATGTTATACCCTCATGCACATAAAATTGACAACTCGTATATTTTCAAAGCGAGAATGGGTAAGTAATCCACTTAATGTTTGCATTGTTGTTTCACTTCAGTTTATTTTGATTGTCTAACCATGACATCAAAGATTGATTACGTTGGTGTTTGATCTATTACTCTGCTGCGTATACTGTAAATCAATTGAAATCAGTTCGTTCATTTTGTTTGTCCGGTTTTTCAAAGGCAATTTAAAAATAAACAAAGAAATAATAAAAATAATAATAATAATAAACAAAGAAATTTTGATAATGATGAATTCATATTAGTCAAGCCAAGTCAATTTTATAGTATTATTTTAGCTCACGTTTCTTCTTGTTATTCTATACCGTACTGTACGTATATAAGATTTTTTTTAAACTGAAAAGATTTTTAAAATACAAATCTATCTACCGAAGATTTTGCGGGTAAACGTTTTATCTTAATATAATAAGCCAGCGTTTGATTATCCCACCTGATGCTAATCGATAATGCAGTCGAAGATGGTAAAGCGTACTAGTTTCGCTTAACTAAAAACATAGTCACTCTTGCCTTGAAAACCACCACAATCTCGCAAAAATGTAAAGAAGATTCCGGCAAATGCCACTCCTTTTTTATAGGATAGGTGACAAACGAGCTCACAGTCCACCTGATGGTAAGTGGTTGCTGCGGCCCATAGACATCTACATCTATCCTCGATTACGAATCATGGGAGATGCGTTGTCACCCGTGAGGACTAAGATGGAATGCCTCGTTTCCAGTAGATAAGGTCTCCGGTTCTCGACACTCACCATACGAAACACAGCAGCATTAAGCTACTATTTGACGCTGGTATTCTGTGAGAGCGTGGTCCTTCGCCGGTCGAGCCGACCCTACAACTATACTACTAATATAACTGCAGCATGGCTCTACCACGTATTAAAACATTGCTAACCGCATTACAATAGCATTACAAACAACGACTTATACATGAGTAATGTAGTGAAAAATTTACTAAATCATCAAGCTAGGCAGGTGGATTAGTGATCGTTGTGGCAGGCGACTGGACGATTTGGAAGAAAACATTTCCCACCTATGTCTCGGCTCCACAACGTCTTCATGAGTTATTTTATTTCTGACAATACAAGGATGTTTATACTATCACCATAATCATAATCGCCTCATTTGACGCCCGAGGGACGAGATGATGAATTCTCTCACACCGTCAACACACACTATCAAATTTTCTAAGACTCATTAAATTATTTTTTTCTTATCTAAGCAGGTGTATTAAACTTATTTGCATAACATAGTATTGAAATATACTATAAAAAATAAACTAAAAGTAATAATTTAATTATCATGCAGTCCTACTCCAGTGGAATTGTGCCAAGAACACTAACTGCGTTTCCTCGCCAAATGGCTATACTTATCCTTTGAGCCAGAAAAGAACCAGTCTCCTTTCACCAGCAAAAGTTTCTTTAGGAACTTCACCGCACGTGGAAACTGCACCGCAAATGGACCGATAATCTCTACAGCAATTACAATAAATATGTAGCCACCTTTGAAAGACACCTCACCACATGCGCCACTTACTCAGTTCAGCAGCCTCTGATGCCAACCCAGCTCTAAACAAGGTACCCCTGAGATGAGAGGCCGCCAAGCGAAGGAACATTTATAGAGGCAAGAACTCTTCGGACGATATTGTTCAAAGAACCATACCGTGAAAACCTACGAGCACTTCATACATGAACGTCCGTGGAACCCAAATTCGTCGAAACCGCTGGCAAAGGGGCACTAATGGGGTTGACAAATCGCGCTCCTTATCGGATTCCTACGGCGATGTGCAAGCGTTCCATGTAAAGCATGTAACCAGTGACTAGATTCCTTAGTCGTAAACAGCTAGAAAACGTGCCTGATCCTGGTCACTACGGTAATTATGAAACAAGTCTTTCTGCACACTCCATAACAACGGAAAACCCCATTGTTTTTGTTGGTTAACTTCCAGATCATCTCATACAGGCTATTAAAATCCACTGTCCAACAAAGTTGTTTTTTATTATATTGAGTTATATACACGGTGAGGTACTAAAATTTTTAAAATATATTACATCATAATAAAATGGTAAGGAAATTGAAATTATTTGATTACGTCATTCTTCCTTGATCACTATAGCTACACGTTTTAGCCGACTTTGAAAAAGGAGGAAGTTATCAAGTCGATTGTATGTTCCTTTTTAATATATTTATTTATGAACGATATTTCCGTCAATTGTGAACCAATTTAGATGATTCTTTTTTTATTAAATAGGTTACACTTTAAGAATTATATAATTATTGGTAATAATTTGGAAAAAATGTCACCTTTAAAAGTGGAAAAATAAGAGGTAAAGTCTTTAACGTGAAATTCTAGTTGTTGTGGTTTTGCTTTTTATTTAAAGTTTAAATTTCGAGACAAGAGTAAAGACACTTTCTTAAACTATAAAAACCCTCTATCTAATCTAAAACTATCAAGAAATACTTTCACGCTCATTCACGTTCTTTAATAATAAATATATATCTTATTTCTGTTAAATCACATACGAGAAGCGAACGATTCAGTTGCAATTAGTACCCAATTCATACCCAAAGTTTAAACGTAGAGCTTTTACATGTGTAAGAGAAATTGCGACCTTGTTGCAGCGAACATTCAGAAATGTATTCGAAGTAGTATAAAATAGGCCAAGGTAAGAAATATTTGATATACCTGGTATAAGTAAGGTTTTTGCCGTGTTTTGGTGGCGTAGGTGAACCCACTGCACCATATATATCACTGAGTGTCGTGTAAGACAACAGAGGACAACTGAAAAAAGATATTAGCGAAAGCATCTTCCAGATAAAAGCTCGAAATAATAAAACCTGCGGTTTCCAACCTCTCTGCCAAGTAGGGCAACTCTGGTAAATATTTAACCTAATACTTGAGGGAGGCCACTTACGTTTAGGGATGGTTGAAATGGCAGGAGGTGAAGATTTTTTCCTATATTACTTTTATTTTCTAACTTACAAGTTAACTACTGAGTGAGTACACAGGAATACTATACTACCTAACTTACAAACTAACTTAACTACTACTGGGCTGTCTTAATAATTATACCTTGGTTTTTATACTATATTGAATATTCTTATATCACATAAATAAATTGAGTTACATCTTTAATGACATGCTGGCTTTTGCTTAGCAGGATTTCCTGATGGTACTGTGTTGAATATTCGTAAGTCACGTGCTGCAATTTGCTTAGCAGACGGCGCTGTATGGTAGGTGACTTCCTGATAGCTTGCAAGGTCTCGGTATGCATAAATATGTAACTGGCCTGTGTTCATCACATAGCATAAAGCATTGTTGACATAAATTCAAAATACATTGCATATATGGGATTTAAGACGATTTTAAGGCAAGCACCCTCCTCATTCTTTACATGACCAAACCGACACACGAACAAGATATAAAGAAAATTAATTACTTATATATAAAATAGACCATAGGTCTTGCGGTCTCTTCCAGTAATATTTAGGTAGGTGGGAAACTAAAAAAAAAAACAAATAAAAATAAAAATGTTACAAAGATACTGAAGCAACCGAGACTTTATAAAAATTACATTAAACAAATGTACCTATTTTTAAACATAAAAAAGATATTTACGCGTTTGCAACAATGATACCACTGCAACAAATTTATTATAACACAAGCTATCCCCCTCTCAGGCTTAGGTAGAATCGATTCATGTAGAGTTACTTATAGAATGAGATGAATATAGGATAAAATTGTCATTAAAATCAGTTTTACGTTTTCAAACATTAGTTTACTAGACAAAATTTTCAAAAACTAAAAATTACTCAATGGCACTCAAATAACACCGTCGGCTATATACAAGGCACTTATTCAATAATACAGATATACATTAATTATATGTATAAATAAAATGAAAATGTATTACCATTAAAGCCAGCCAACCGTTTATTTATTATGAGAATAATACCAGCATCGTTTTCTTACTTTTATAAGCCAGTGCTTAACTTCTATACCACCCATTGGTGGGTGACGATGCAGCCGAAGATAGTAAACCACATTAGCTTAATAAAAGCACAGTGTAACTACTTTTAGGCTTTGAAAAAAAATCCATTTGTGCTTGAAGCCACTCTTTATTGCTAAGCAAAGTTAATTCAATTGAGTAGAATGAAATGGTTTACCAACGCTTTGGACATAGAATCTTCTTTTCTATATACTTATAAAAAGGCTGGTCCTGACTGACTGTTCAGCGTCATTTAGCCTTTGGCCTTTAAGGATATTTAAACTCGATGGGATAACATAATAATACTACATCTTAAACTTGTAATAAATACTTGCATTAGCTTTATATAGCCTCTATATAGGTAGGTCTTTTGCAGCGATAAAATTTCATAATCTCATAGGAAATTAGAAATTTTACTCGGACGAAGTCGCGGTCGACCGCTAGTTATAATAGGTAACTCTGTAGATCGCAACTAAAAAGCTTAAAAAACCAATTTTTATTGAATTATTGTATTCAGTTTAATAATAAATAATTGAATACACATAATCGAGCCATAAAATTTATTTAGTTTTAAAATTGCTATATATTCCTTAAGATGCTACTATGGCAAAATGCAAACAACGGGGAGCAACTTCAAATGGTAAAAATGCAGTACTTAATTATTATAAAACCATGATCCTGCACCTGACCTTTCTCCAGTCGTGTCAGATATCCGTCCTATTGGGCTATGAGAATAAAGTAATAAAGAGTGCATTTGTGCTTGTGCACGTGCACTCTAACCCTGATCTGCGCAGGTAGTTAGGCCTCTTTTCCATTACACGGTTTCTCGCCGTGAAAATCTACGGTTAATTCGCCGCGTGTAGGCACGGTCGTCAGTGTGGTATGGATCACTATATGAGCTTGTCGACATGCACGGTGGCGCCAAGGCACGGCGCCGCGGCCGCGTGCGCCGTGACTGCCCCTCGGCGCGCCGCGTCTACGCACGGCGTGATTTTCACCAGTGTTGTATGGCAGTCTATCGGGGTGTGTCGACGGTGCCGGACGTACGCACGGATTCGTGACCGCTTATATACGCTGTTTCGCGATTTTATTATAAAATGAACATAAATCAAGAATTATTAATTACGTTGATTCAAGAAAGGCCTGTAATATGGGATAAGACCATCGACGATTATAAAAATAAGCGGCTTAAATATGATTCCTGGAAAGAAATATTTATTCATTTCCAGCCCACATTTGAAGATTTAAGTGGTGATGAGAAAAACAAGTTTGGTAAGTTACAGATATTTAATTATTAACTTTTTACTTATGCATAGTTGTTTTGATAGGAGAGGCGACCTTCGTTAGATACAAAATATTGTGCAAATCTGTTGCGGACTTCATTAGCCGCCAAACTTCCGCGAACTGCATTCGTGATAGGTAACTGGATTAGTTCCGATTCTGAATCAAGGGTGGACTCATTTTCACTCGCATTGTGAAACTGAAAGTTTTCCTGCTTATGTATAAAATTTTGCAAAACACAACATGTTTTCACAATATCAACTGCCAAATCGATGGACACATTCATTGGCCGGTGAAAAATTCGCCATTTATTGGATAAAATGCCAAACGCACATTCAACAAATCTTCGCGCTCTTGTGAGTCTGTAGTTAAATGTACGTTTTAATTGATCAAGCTGATGACCACCAAATGGACGAAGCAAGTGATAATGCAAAGCAAAGGCTTCGTCCGCAACGAACACATATGGCAAATCGTAGTCAATTCCAGGCAAACGTGTTGCATCGGGTAGATTTAATCCGTTGTTTGTTAAATTTTTCCAAAATGGGGTCACACTCCTTTCCGTAGGCGCCAACGTCAACAAATATAAAGTTGTAATCGCTATCTACTACTGCCATCAAAACTATAGAAAAAAATGTTTGTAATTTAAAAACATCGAGCCACTATCAATTGGCTTAATAAGTCTGATGTGTTTTCCATCGACCGCTCCTAAGCACAGCGGGAAGTTGGAAGATTCTTGAAATTTGCTTGCAATGTGTAGCCAGTCTTCTTTAGATGGCATTTTCATATATTCTTTATACAGTTCTAACCAAATGTAGTGGCATACTTCACGTACGATGCAACTTATGGTTTTTATTCCAATTCTATAGCTGTAGTATAGGTCAGTAAAGGTATCTCCTGTTGCTAGATACCTGAAATATAAAACAAAACGGTTCAGGTTCAAATACTAAAACCCCATTTTAGGTCGGGGTCGATTCAGTTTAGGTCGGGGGTTTTCATAAATTTTGAATTTAATAATTATTATTTATTTATTTTCAGGGCAAATGGTGATGAAGAAGTGGACCAATATGAAAGATAGCTGGATAAAATATGACAAAAAAATTAATGAATGTAAGTCTGGTTCTTCAGCAAAAAAAATAAGAAAATATATGTTCTATGATGAAATGATGTTCCTAAAAAAAAATGTTGAGCATCGCAAGACCGATTCTAACATGACTGAACATGTTCATGATTCTAGCCTCAGTAATGAAAATTTTGATAGTGCAGTACCGAATCAATCAAGCTCGGGATACACTGAACGGAGTGAGACGCAAAGGGCTAAAAAAAAAAAGAAAAAATGAACTAAGTGAAGTTGACATTAGGTTTATGAAGTTTATGGATTCAGCAGAACGAGATGAGAAAAAGAAAAGCCGTAGTATGAACTTTTTTATGGGAATCGCTGATACAGTTGACAAGTTCAGTGATGAAAATATGATAGACTTTCAGTTTCAAGTAATTTCAATAATTAAAAATATTCAACAAAGACAGTGTACTCAGTATATACCTACATCAAGAAACCAATGGGATCAAGGCCATCAAGGATATTTAAGTGGTACAGCATCCTCAAATGCGCAATCGTCAACATATGGATATTCTACAGCTGCTAGATCGAGCTATGGAATAAGTCGTCCACAGACGTCTTCTCATGATTTTGGACATGGTTCTGGTTTAGAGCCAATCCACTACCGACCCGAATCACAATTATCTGTACATAGTGTAAATGCGGAAAGTATCTCGGCAGATTCTCAAGTTTCTATTGAAGACGAATTCGATTTTAGTACCGCACTTGAGTAGCATTTTCAGCGTAGTGTATTTTTTGATTTACTTGTTCTTAAATTAATAATTATTAAAATTCAATTACATGTAATAATTTTGTTTGTGTGCAATAAACAATTTTAAACTAAAATATGTCATTTAATTTTGTACCTACTTACCTCAGAGTTACAGCCAATCTTTCTGCGGGCGATATACTCTCTCGCATAAAAGTATCTTGATGTTTTAGTTCCTGGGATAATTTTTGGAGCAAGTTGTCGAATGTAGTTTTCTGCATTCTAAAATAATTGTAAAACTTGTCTTCATCTTCTCTCAATTGATTCTTGACAAGTGTATGAAACGCGCCATATTCCTCCCTTTTTTCTAAAATCGGATGTATCCAAAACCTTACTTCCCTTTTTTTTTCTATTTTCTTTTTCCTATATATGTAATAAGCAACTATAATCTTTTTTTTCGTAAGAAAATTCATGACGCAGCACGTCCTACACAGCCCGAGTAAAAAGCGCTACTAGCCAGTACTTACCAATGTCTCGCGCGGTGATTTTGCCGTATCATGTACAAGCTAGCACGTTTTTTCAACCGTACGGCTTACACACCGTACGTTTGAACAACCGTGTAATGGAAAAGATGCCTTAGTCTCCTTTGAGACTTGGCGGCAATACCGAGTCGCTCCGAATGACTTCAATATTATATTTACAGGTTCTAAGGTATTCCATTTTACTATATGTAATATTAATCAATACATAATATGTGGACCTAATATTTGCGTTAGGAAGAAGGAACCCTGAATTGAAATCTGCTGAATCAGTCACAATAAACTATATATATATATATATATATATATATATATATATATATATATATATATATATATATATATATATATAAGTATTAGCTTGTTTTCTACTTTAATATTATTATTGCATCTAATCTACACTCTAAAATAAGCTTTGTTACTATATTTACATCCATCGTGTTCATATCATAAAACTACGCCTCCTAACTGTTACCAAATCGAAGATTTCCATTGTAGCGTACATTTTTTCTATCAAATTATTCCGTTTATTATATGGCAGGTACACTCATCGGCTGTCAAGTTATTCTGTGACTTGAACACTTTTTTAGTATTAAAAATATGTTTTAACGGAATGTTTTTATATCTCATCGCATTGTCACAAAAAGTGGCCTAGGACCCGAAAGATCCACACGACTAACTTCCCAGTGGAAAGAATAAAAAATATCATATGTTTTAATATTTTATACAATTTTTCATTCGGCACAAAAAACGAATTTACCGATTTTTCTCAAAATATAATGAGGTCTCAGTTACATAATTATGCGTTAAATGAAACTGGTCCCATGTCAATATCACTCTTTGTTCTCGAGATACCCGAGGCGAAAATTGAATCTGAACTTACATACATACATACGTACATGTGCACACACGGACATTATCTTAAAAACCATACTATTCGACTTTAAAAACCTTGAAACGTGGAGATATGTTAAAATTTCCAATTTGCAAAATCGGACCCATTACAATAACTAGTCAAATTTCGGGAACGTCGAAAGGAGTTTTTAAAAACTAAACTACAACTAAATTAATACGTCTCACCGATTTGGAGGTGTCTTTAACAATGAATCAATCTTAAAGAGTGTGTTCGTACGCAGACGTTCAACTCATCAACTAAGTACTAGGAATCTTATATAAAATGCTGATGTGTTAGTTTTATTGCTTAGCCTAAATAATACAATATAATATATATTAATATACTAGTCTAAAACAGAGGGACGGGGTGCATCCATAACTCCTCCCTCCCTAAGAGCAAAATTATCGGAAATATCATTTTTAATGTTTTTACGATAATTTTGGAAGTGAGGCATACATTTTTTTCTTAATAAGTATATTAAAAACAATAGGAAACTTAAGGCTAGAAAATTTAAAATTACATATGTTAGAACACTAAAGTTAGAGTCTTTTTCTCCTTTGTTGAATACACTTGAATCTGTGTAATAGATTTCACTGTGTTTTAAAGCATTTGACATATACTTCACTTCGTCCAAGTTGACACCATTAATGTTAATTACGCGTGTACTTGTTACATTGGTAGTTGAACGTAATTGAGGTAAGTTGATGACTGGAACTGGTAGTGCTGCCTCGTATTCTGTGTAAACACGGTTGTGATGAATGTAAGTACCATGTATCTTCAGGTCACAGGGCTCATCACTGGTTAGTATATAGGTTCCAAAAATGGGTTGCTTGCTAATCTCGTTATCACAGTGTTTGGTAAGTGTCGTTCTTAGCTTTGTAAAAACAATCCAATTTTCTCCTTTAATTTGCTGTACTTTAACGTCTTCAATTATAATAGCGTGTTGCGTGCAACAAGTTAGGTTATTTTCAAATTTCATCAACTGTTCTATGCAGGTAAGTCCAGGGTAGAGGGTTCTATTTTCCTCGGTACACAGGAAATCATTACCAGCAGCAAGCGGGCGACAGGGTTTCGTAACTGGTAAGTATTTCGTCCCTTTCACCAGGAGGTAAGGATATTTTGGGAATATGATAATTGTTTCGTTTACGGATTCGCGGAAAATAGGTACGGAATAAACCTTAAAGTAATTGTAGGTATTATTATCAGTTAACGGAATCTCCATTATAAATGCTATCTGGTTTTTCTTAAGTTAAGATTTTACTCTTATGGTTTGTTCTAATTTTACCAAATTAGTTTCGGTTCGGTCAGTACACAAAATTTTCGGTATTGGATATTAGTTTTAAATGATCTAAGAGTTCTGTAGAATTTGTAATAGATTGATGAAGTATAGATACTCTACTAAAAGCTAGGGCAGTCTCTATTTAATTTAATTTATCAAATATGGTTCGAAAATTGCTTATAAATAAATTAAATAATCCAAAAATATATGTAGAGAAAACCCAGTTATTTTCTCTAGTCGTTAGATGATTTAGCATTGTCTCTACACTTTTTAGGCGTGCATCTAGCATAACGTAATTATTGTTTAAGGTTTCAGTGGCATTAATAAAGCTGTCCAACATTTTAGAGACTAAGGTGAGTTTCCTAGACACGATAATTTGGTTGTGACTTAACTCCGAGGTAAGTTTATCATACTTTAGAGCATCTTCATGATCGAGGTTTTCCGTAATAATTTTTAGAACTGACCCTAATGGATTTAGGATCCCTCTCTTAAATCGTTGCGGCAATTTTTCTTTAACCGCTACCATATTTTTTGCTAAATGTTTGTATAAGAATTTTGTTCGCTTTGCATGGTCTCTTACTAAGTGTTGGAAATACTGCTTATCAATTTCTGTATTAAATGTGTCGGTGTGTCCGAAAATTACCTCGAAAGGTGTAAGCTCTGTTACCGAATGAATGGTATTATTATATGCTAGTATGGAATACGTCATAACTGATACCGCATCAGTAGGTTTTCTTTCGTATAATATTTGCCAATCCATAAATTTCTATAATCGTCGAGTGAAAGCGTTCTATAAGCCCCATCGCGTTTGGGCTATTTGGGGTTCCGATGTGTTGTTCAATTTTATATAAGCTTAAGAATTCCTTAATTAATTCATTGTTAAACTCAGAGCCTGGGTCTGAACTTATCTTTTTGGGTATTCCGTAAAAAGAAAAGTACTTCATCAAAGCTCGAACTACTTCGGGGGTAGATCTATTTGAAATTTCTATCGCTTGGCCTAATTTGCTGAACGTATCTATAAGGGAACAGAGCATCTTGTGTTTGGGTTAATTGAAGTATAGGTTTGATTGGCCTCCTGTCGTATTTCATTTTTTAAACGCAGTACAACTATTTATTATTGCCGAAACAGTTTTTTGTAAATTATCTCAGTAGTATTTTCTGCGGATTCTGACTAGCGTCTCTTTAATGCCCCGGTGGCATGTCTTTTCTTCGTGATATTTAACTACAATCGCTCTTTGTTCTTTTTCATCTTCAACAAAAACTACTCGTTCCGTACATTCGAAAAATTGAACTATGTCCTTTTTGAACAGGTGTATAATGATATAACTAAATTGTTTTCGATGTTCTTCTTGTTCAAAATATATAAAATATTTAATTTTAGGCCTAATATATTTCTTTAAAAATTCTTTTATTAACTCGGAATTATGTAATGGTAAAAATGCTTCTTCATTTTTGAACCACGAAAATACTAATATTTGATTTGGCTTCGCATCGATAGCCTCATGTAATATTGGTATACCGTTCGACTCTAATTCTACGGCTGAATGCACAGTTTGGGATTTACTAGATTCTGTAGGCGATCTGATTGGGTATTCGGAAACCTTTTCTGAACCACTAATCGATATTATGTCGGAAAGAGACATAGGGCTCGCGGGAACAGTACTTGAGTCTGATATTATTACAGTAGACGTCGTGTCATTATGTCTTTTATTTTCAGCATTTAGTTTTTCAATTTCCTTAACAACGTCTTTTAAATGGTCCCTAGGCTTACACTCTTTGCTGTCGAAGTTAACGTCCATAGAATGACCTTCGTCGTTTGAATTTAGTGCATTAATTTTAATTCTGGATAGGGCGTCGGCATTTGTATTCTGTTTTCCATTTTTATAAATAATCTCAAAGTCGTACTCCTGTAATCGTAGTCGCCATCTGGTGAGTTTACTGTTTGGTTCCTTTAGTGAATAAAGCCAAACTAACGGTCGATGGTCAGTGTAAATTACAAATTTCCGTCCGTAAAGGTATGGCCGGAAATGTTTCACAGCCCAAATAATAGCTAAAAGTTCGCGTTTGATGGTGCTGTATCTACCTTCAGTGTCACTAAGCGTCCTACTAGCGTATGCAACAGGTCTGACGCTACCAATAGGGTCCTGTGATAGAACTGCTCCTAAAGCTATATTTGAGGAGTCAGTTGTGAGGATGAACGTCTTTTCGAAATCCGGGTAAAATGGTTCACTCGTAAGTATTTCCTTACGTTTATCAAACGCACTTATATATTTTTCATCGATGATTATTTTATTTCGCTTTTTGAGACATGCAGTTAGGGGTTGTGTGATCTTAGCAAAGTCCTTTATGAAGCGTCGATAATACCCTACCAGCCCTAAGAAACTTTTAATTTTAGTTGTTGTCTTAGGTATAGGAAAATTTAGCACAGCTTGTCTACTTGCCTATTTATCTCTTCTACTTGCATTGGTGCCTGTCGGTAAGGTCTGACGTAAATTGGGTCTTCATTTTTTGTACGTATTTTATGTTGCGAAGGTTAGTGGTAGTTTGTCGCAGTAAAATATATCTTTAAATTCTTGACATAGTCTAAAAATTTTGTCGCGTTCCTCATCGTTAGTGTGATCAAGTCTTAGCTTAAGTAGATTTTCTTCGAGTATCTTATCGATCTCTATGTCGTCATAGGTACTTGTAAAGTTTGTGTCACATTGAGTAGTCTCGTACTTAGTAACGGTAAAAGGTCGTGTTACTGTCAATATCATCTCATTGTCAAGAACATTCTGTATGACTGTTGTGGCATAACCGTTAACGCAGTTTACCAATGCACTGGGCATTCATACACCGCTGACAAA